GTGCAACGGCAGCATGGTGTGGAGTGTCAACCTGACAGCCAACATGGTGAGGACCCCTGGGCACTGGGGGGAGGTGGCTGAGGCTGCAGCCCTCTGCTCGTCTTTTCTGAGCCTTGCTCACATGGCTGGCGGTTCCAGGCAGGCTTCAAGAGCCAATCTCCACCCCTCATCATCTGGGCTCCCCACCACCCAGACCCACCTCCACCAGGCCTCCCAGCCCCCTCCCTCCTGCAAACTCACTGAAGAATGTGCTGCCTGACCCCCCGGCGTTTTCATCCCCACAGTACTGTTCGGCCCTGGAAGCCCTGATCAACGTCTCCAACTGCAGTGCCATCCAAAGGACCCAGAGGATGCTGAGCGCACTCTGTCTTCACAAGCCCTCAGCTGGGGTAAGGCCCCCCTGCCCCCCCGACCCTGCACCCACTTCTGCCAGGCCTGGGCTCACCCTGGGAGCTTCAGGGGAAGCTGGCTGAGCATCTGAGGCATGTGTCCACAAAGGGGTGGGCCCACTGTGGAAGCAGGGACGTGCCTTTGGGATTTCCAAGACGTGGCCTGAGGGCTCCTGACTCCTACCTGAGCTTCAGTTCCACATCTGTAAAGTGTGGGTAATACTCACCTCGTGGGGGCTTTTGTGGGGATTGAACCAGCCGGTCCCTGGAAAGCCCCTGGCAGGTGCTGATCGTCCTGGTTCTGGTGTTCCACTAACATGCTGGCCTCTTTGCTCTGCAGCAGGTTTCCAGCGAGCACATCCGAGACACCAAAATTGAAGCAGCCCACTTCTTAAAAGACCTGCTCAAACATTCAAGGATCATTTTTCACTACGGAAAATTCAGCTGAAGCATGAAGAGCTAGCATTATTATTTGCAGAGGCAGACGCTGACCATCTAAGTTGCAGATTTATTTTTCTTTCAGATGTCAGAAATTTCTTGGGGAGACTGGAGGAGGGTTAGGGAGGGGGGTAAGGTTTCCTTAGCTTAGACCTGAGCCTGTGCTGCCTGCCTTGAGTCCAGCCAAGGCCACCTGCCCTGTGCCTTGGTGCCCGGGGCTCAGCCTGGTGGGCCTCCTCCATCTGGGGCTCCGAGCTGGGTGGACAAGGATGGACATTGCCCCACTTGACCTCCCCCACCTCAGAACAAACTAGCATTACAATGGGTGCCACCCTCGTCAGACAGCCAGTGGAAGAGCCACCTGCTTTACACGGGGGCAACCGAGGCAGAGAGCAGCCCAGGCACATTTCTTCTTGGCCTTATTTATTATTGTGTGTTATTTAAACAAGTGTTTTTGTCTGTACTGGGGATAGGGAGGGACTGTTACTGCCAGAACTTGGAGCCAAGGGCCTGGAGACTTGGGGCTCCAGCACTAAAACAGCCAGCATTAGGAATCTCTGGCAATAAGTACTGTATGCAAACTTCTGCTACCTCACTGGGGCCCTGGGGCCGTGGCAGGGGACAGGTCAGAGGGCCAGAGCAGCCACTCTTGTCTGACGGCCAGCAGTCAGCCCTCAGCCGAGTAATTTATTGTTTTTCCTTGTATTTAAAGTTAAGTATTAAAATATGTTATCAAAGAGTTAATAATATATAGGAGAGCAGCCTAGAACACTGCATACGGTGTGGATTGTGGGGAGGGGTCATTGGATAAGTTGTTTCATTGACTTTGTCAAGCTGGAAGCCAGAAATAAAGATGGTGACAAGAGACCTGATGGTGTTTGCCTTTTACGTTGGCCTCTGGGGACGCGGGCCTGTGTTCTGAAGACTCTGAGGAGTGTTTGGGAGGCAGGGCAGTCGGAGGGGGGCCTAGGACGGAGCGGAGGGGGAGTGAAGTACAAGACCTGGGCCGAAAAATAGCAAAGCCAGTGCCTGGGGAGAGGGGACCTGGCCAGGAGGAGTTCCCCACCACCACCTGCAGGGAGGGGGAAGAAGCATGGGCCAGGGTGTCGGGGTTCAAGGGAGGGGTCTGGAGCAGGTAGAGACCTCAGAAGTGGTCTCATGACCCTACAGCCCTGGATGAGTGGCCAGCCTGTGTCTGGCACCACCCACACACCTGCTGGTGTCGCCCATATGAAGCTCAGGGAAGAGAAGGTGGTTTGCCCAAGGTCCCACAGCTGGTATGGAGCAAAGCTAGGATTTGAACCCCAAACTCACTCCAAACTCCAAAGCTCACACACTTAACCACCTTGCCTCCCTCTGTCCAAATGCCATCTGGCCTGAATGCACGACCTTTGTAATACTGTCACCAGCCTGTGTGGTAACCTCCCCTGACGGGGAGCTCACTACTCGCTCTCTAGGTACAGCCCATTCAATGTCTGGACACCTCTCATCACAAGAGAGTGCACACTCGCCACCTCTGTGAACAAAGACGCACCAATGACTTGTGGCCCCTGGACCGTGGAGTGACTGGGGTGGAGAGCCAAGGTCACAGGGCCCTGATCAGACTGCTCCTTTCCAAGCAGGTGTTTTTGCTTCTCCTTCAGTCAAGGCCAGCACGTGGAGGGCAGAAAGCAGCAAGCCTCAGCAAGCCACAGCTAATGGGCACACCCATCAGCCATGGTTTACACTGTGAATATTCAGAAGGACAGGATGCATCTTGCAATGGGTGGCGGGTCATCAGAGACCAGCCTCAAATGCTGAGTGAGAGGCAGGCACCCTCCCTGGGGGGAGCCCAGAGCCCTGTGGGAACATCTAAAGAGATGCTCACAAGTCAGTGGAGGCAGCCACTCAGGAGCAGTGAGAGCTCATGCCGTGTGTGATTCAGGCAGCAGAGGCCATGGCAGGACCTGTCCAGGGTGCAGACTGTGTTACTCAGTTTTTCTCTCTCAGCTCCAAGACCCTGTACAATGGGTCTCCCCTGCTGTG